AACCTGCGTGTGGCGGGAGGCGGGGCTCATGTCGCAGAATGGTCCCTGTCACGGATGTTTTGAACCAAAACAAAATAATCAGCACGAAAATGGATGCTTAGGTTTATTAAATATGTTTATGTTCTCCGCAGACCACTGGACTTGTAGGATTGGCTGTAGCGGAAAACCCTCATGAGGTATGGCACATGTCTCGTCCTGTGTTTAATGGACATTGTCAGTGAGATCAAAGCTTTTTATTACCATAGAACCATGGAGTGGTTTGGGTTGGGAAGGGCTTTTAAAGGTCATCTAGTCCCACCCCCCTGCAGTGGGCAGGGATGCCTCCCTCTAGACCAGGTTATATTTGTGCTATGTAGGTACACAATACATCTGAAAGCAGTGCCAACTTTAAACGCTTCAGAGTGATAAAGGAATAAATTTAATTCTTAAAGATTTAGTTCATCAGGGGGTATTTTGCACATGTGCTTTTTGTTGCATGTGCTGACTTAAAAAACCTCCTCTGTGTAAGTACTTTGCCAAAGCGATATTTGATTTTTCTCATCCCCAATGCAAAAGCAAAGATCGCTTTGAGTTTGGTTCTTCATAAGTGTAGTTATTATTTAACAGGCCTTTATATTTTTGCAGCCTTGCTATATTGTATTTCCAATAAGTGCTGAAATACCTGTACTAGTGGGATAGACTACCCTGAGATGATAAAGGGTAACGGTGTGGTGCAAGGCCCTGTTGAGTTTGGAATACTTCAGTGGTTCTTGGGAATCCCGTTAGGCGGTTCTTGTAGCAATTTGGTACTTTCTTTTTACCTTCTCAGGCTCAAGTAATGAAGGTGTATTTGCCACATCTTGCATCAGTTTGCTTCCTTTTTTAAAAGTATGGTTAATATTAGAAACACAGCTTTTATTGTTTCTGTTTTGTATAAAAAGTGCTTCAAATTGCAGCTTTTCTCCCCCCCAACCCCCCTCTTTTTTTTTTTTTTTAACAAATCTTATTGTGGTAACTTTCCAGTCCTCATAAATCCCAGTCTTACCCAAAGCAGAGTTCTGTGATTCAGACTTAGTTGTTTTGTTAATCCTATATTTCTGGATTGAATACCATAACCCTATGTATTTTGTGTATAGATAGTTAGCCAGCAGGTGAAGTAGGACAAGAACCAACCCCCCTCTTTTTTTTTTTTTTTAACAAATCTTATTGTGGTAACTTTCCAGTCCTCATAAATCCCAGTCTTACCCAAAGCAGAGTTCTGTGATTCAGACTTAGTTGTTTTGTTAATCCTATATTTCTGGATTGAATACCATAACCCTATGTATTTTGTGTATAGATAGTTAGCCAGCAGGTGAAGTAGGACAAGAAGTTAAATAATTCTAATTGTATATTTTAACCATGCCTTTTGATCCCTGCAGCGCCTGCGAATCCTGTACACAAAAATCCTAGCTGTCCTGCAGGACATTCCCAAAGATGCAGCGTATAGAAAATACACTGAGCAGATTGTAAATGAGAGATTTAGTTTGGTGCAAAAAGTAAGTATAGTGCTTTTTCATCAATGTTACACAAGAAAAGATTTTTGGCTTGAGAAGAATGATTTTCAAACTAACTGGCTGTTTTTCAGGAGTATATGTAACCTTCAGGTATCAATTCAGAAATAATTGAAGTCTTCAGGTTTATTTTTGTTATTGAGTGGAATGTTTTCATGGTATATTAATAGTAATTTCTTACTGATGTTTTCAGTGAAAATTAGAAGTTTTTGAAGGTTTGTAGAGCAATGGTAATTTCCACATGCCTAAAAAATGCTTATGCTCTTACCAGTGTTGTATCTTAGCACAAACTTTGCCTTTGCCATTTCAGAACGCTTTTTTTGGTACATTAAACTATGCCATACTGTCATTGTTTGTTTAAGGTGGTCATTGGAAGGTTGCATTTCAACTTATAAAAATCTAAGAACAAAATTTTCTTAGAAGATACTTACTAAAGCCATTAGCTGCTAATGCTTCTTCGGGTGCCATTAAGTAGTACTCATTTTTTTGTATTTATCATTGAGAGTTTGATATTTGTTTTCCAATAAGTAAAGTGTATGAGATTTATTTTATAACATAAAATGACAGAAGCAGCTAATTTGAGAGTAGTTTTGAGGAAGACTGAGGTGTGGTCTGGTTAAATTTCATGCTTTATCCAGGCTTTTTGCTTCTCAGTTAACGCACTTTTTTTTAAATATGTATTTGAATACACAGGAGACTGATGTGCAAAAGCTACAAGACAAACTGAATAGTGGCCACATAGAAGAAGTCATTGTGCAGGTAAAGTGGAGAGGTTTAAGGTTAGGTGCAAAAGGGAGCAGTTGTTTTTGATGTTCCTTTGGCTGAGCTTTGTTCAGAAAATTGGCAATTTTCTTTATCTTCCGTTGCTGCAAAACAGTCAAATGGGAGGAAGAAAAAATGCTTGAAAATGAATTGTCACATAGTGGTTGGGATGACCATGGTTAAACCTAACACGTTTAACACGTGTTTACTGTATTATGCTGATGTATATACCCTGCATACCTACATTGCTTCTTACAGAGTCTGAATCAGTGGAAGGTGCAGAAGACAACTGAGTAGTGTTGAGGGATAATCCAAACAGAGTGGAAAATACAATGAAGTTGTCACTGGAAATGACTAGGTGAACAGATTGTTTGGGTCTTAGGGGATGACTCACTGTGTTTTAGAAGCAAAATCCAAAGTGCACGGTTCCTTTTGATATTTATAGATGAAATTTTTGGTAGTCTGTGACCAATACTTAATACTTCAGCAGTTGTATAGAGTTTAAGAATTTGTGTATGGTGTTTATTAACAGGCTGAAAATGAGCTCTCCCTGGCAAGAAAAATGATACAGTGGAAACCGTGGGAGCCTCTAGTTGAAGAACCTCCTTCTGACCAGTGGAGATGGCCCATATAATTTTCAAAATGGTGTAACCTCTTCAAAGTAAAAAAAAAAAGTTAATTATTAATCTATTGTTACTGACAGTTGTCTTTAAATTAAAGATAATAACTTCATAAAAAACATGTTTTGTCCTAATGTCCATGTATATTCAGGAATCTAAAGCAATTTGTTCTAAAGCACATTTAAGAAAATTCCGCTGTTTTACAATCTTTGGTTTATTTCTTTTTGTAATTTGTTATTAATGTGGTATTTGCACCTCACTGAGAGTTTTTTGTTGTTGTCTGTATTTATATGTTAACAAACACAGGTATTAGAGGCCTTTTGAAATCAAAATGGAAGTTGTAGAAAAGCATCATCCCACCCCTCTCTCCCCCCTTTGGCTGTGTATTTTTGCCAGCAGCTGCCAGTGTGTTTGTGACTGTGCAGACACTGAGCTCAGGGGTCTGACGCAATGAAAACCTGGCTTACCAAAAAGTAGCAGTTTTTTAGATTTCAGCTGAATTACTGTTTTGAACTAGGTGACTTTGATGAGCTCTGGCTCAGGAGGCACTGGGAAGACCCAAGGCTGGAGGGCTGAGAGGGAGAAGGAAGACAGCCCCTTGAGGTGACAGCAGGAGCAGGTTTCTTGGTTAGCAGACGGGTTACCATACTTGGCATCATGCACATGGCACAAACTTCAGTATTGGGGTCTTACAAAGGCTTTGTAGTTAAACATGTATACTTTACAGCTTTGGTTGTATATTATTGATTCAGACCTGGAATATTACTTAGTAATATGAAAAAATAAATAATGGATCTTGGCACATCTGACTAGGTTCTTTCAAACATGTAAATGGAAACAGTGCCTGCCTCTCCTGAAGACTTCTATGTACAGATTTAATCTTACAAGCCCAAATTAAAATATCCAAACTTTAAGTATACTGTGTGAGTTTGCCTTTACTCACATTTTTAACATTAACGGAGTTCTTGCAAGTTCAAAGATTACAGCTGTGTGATAAAAACCTGGAATTTGTTAAACATTTATGCAGAGAGTACCACTGTACTATGTTATATAACGTGCTTTGTCATAGCAGCTGGTTTTTTGTAGTCATTAGGCCTGTAGCATCATTATTATGTAATGATTAATTACGTCTTTATTAATAAAGTATTGCATGCAGTCGGGGCGTTGGGGGAATAGTTCAGTAGAAGAGAAAACCAGTAAGTATACCTGGGATAGTGACTCTAGCAACTATATTCACTGCGTCCTTAAGCATTGGGGTTTTTTTCCACTATTATTGCTATAGTTGCAGAGATTTTTAATTATGAAAACTGAAGAACTAGAAAATACTTGGTTGGTTTTGAAGGCTTTTTCTGTCTTGGAAAAAGGTAGAAGCTGTCTCTTCTAAAGTAAAACCACTAGATGGCATTCCAGAAGAGGACTTTGCTGGAGTTAACAAACACAATTCACATGAGAAATATTAAAGGATTACAAACTTGAATGAGGGGGAATAATATCTGATGAGAAATGAAGAGGAATTGTTTTAGGTAGTAACTATTGAACTAAAGTGAGAGGAAGCAAAATAAACAAAAAACTTATAACTCTAATATGCATGGTATTGGTGTGCAATACTTGGGGGGCAGGGGGAAGTTCCAGACTGTGGTGACAGCTCTTGGGATGTTTTCTGCTTTTTCATAACTGAGACATCAGCTGAACTCTTTTTGCTCAGTTATTTTCTGTGCTTCTAAAGCTGTGTTTGTCATGTGAGTTGCAGTAGCTCTCCTGTAAGCTCCTAGGTTGTGTTGAAGGGGGAAGTCTCTATTCCTTGGCCCCTTGCTGCTGGAATTTGACACTCGGCCTTTTTAAAACTGATTTTCACTGACCCAAAGCATAGTGGCGTCTTTTCCCATTTGCAAATGCTCAAGTCTGTCCTCAGTACAGACCCTGATATAAATTGGTTACTACTTTGACGGCTACTTTTTTTTTTAGAGTTCTATTTTCTAATTTATATTCTTAGTGATCTTTCTGGTCTATAAGCGTTTCTTTCACATGACTCAAAATAAGATCATTTTCTAAATCTTTCTGTCTGAAATACTGGATTAACCTTCACAGATGCTTTAATTTAGGAATCAATTCACATCTGTCTTAAAAAGGTTCTACTGAAGCCAACTCTAGGAGTCATTAATAAGGATTTTTCAGCTTTGTGAGCTTTTTATCAAATTCTCAGAATATGTAATGTTTTCATTACTCTTAATATTGGTTAATTTTGGTTTTATTATCTTAGCATAAATTAATCAGTGCTGCATATGATTACTAAATTAGTATTATGTTGTAGCATCAACTTTAAATAGTTACTGAGAGCAAAGTGAGGAAAGAAGATGGATTGCAGTTTGGAGAAGTAATGGTGTATGCCTTTTGTACAGTCTTGTGTGGTTCATGTCATCCTTGTTCCTGGCTAATTTAAAAATACATCCTTGCTAAGAAAAGAAACAGTAATTTTTACCTTGCTATTAACTCTCTAGCTGTATATCTGATACTTAAATGCACACTAGCAACAAAACAGCACACATATTTTACAGGCAAGAAAGTATCTATATTAGGAGTACTAATTGTATGAGGTTTAACAAGGCCAAGTGCCAGGTCTTGCACTTTGGTCACAACCCCAGGCAACACTCCAGGCTTCGAGAAGATTGGCTGGAAAACTACCCAGCAGAAGAGGACCTGGCCGTGTTGGCTGATAGCTGATGGAACATGAGCCAGTCATGTGCTCAGGTGGCCAAGGTGGCCAACAGCTTCCTGGCCTGCTGTCAAAAATAGTGTGGCCAGCAGGAGTAGGGAAGTGATTGTGCTCCTGTGCTCAGCACTAGTGAGGACACAGCTTGTGTACCATGTCCAGTTTTGGGTGCCACAGTATAAAAAAGACATTGAGGTGCTGAAGTGAGTCCAGAGAAGGGCAACAAAGCTGATGGGGGGACTGGGGAAGATGTGTTCTGAGGAGTGGCTGAGGGAACGGGGGTTGTTTAGCCTGGAGAAGAGGAGGCTGAGGGGAGACCTGTTTGCTCCCTACAACTACCTGAAAGAAGGCTGCAGTGAGGCTGATGTTGGTCTCTTCTCCCAAGTAACTAGTGATAGGATAGAGGAAAGGGGCTCAAGTTGTGCCAGTGTAGGTTTAAGTTGCATATTAGGAAGAATTTCTTTACTGAAAGAGTGGTGACATATTGGAACAGGCTGCCCAGGGAGGTGGTGAAGTCACCATCCCTGGAGGGGTTCAAAAAATGTGTGGAAATGGCACTTCAGGACATGGTTTAGTGGTCATGGTAGTGCTGGGTTGACAGTTGGACTTGATGATCTTAGACATCTTTTCCAATCTTTATGATTCTATGATTGTACTATGTGGCAAACAATTTATTTTAAGATGAATATGCTAGCAAGGTATAATTTGGAGACTAATGATTTTGCTTGATTTTTCTCCATTAACTATGTTGGAAATATATGATTATGCAAAAGATTATCATTAACTACTGTAATAGGGTAAGGTAAATCACTGCAAGACTTAGAGTTAACAAACTTGACACCCTTGAAACACTTCAGGATTGTCTGATTAAAGTCATTAAGTGAGTGAAAATCACCCTGTCTGGAAGGATGTGACCTAATAGAGACAGAGCCTGTCAAATCAAAAACCCAACTTTCAGATTGCCAGTTAGCAGCAGTAACTGTTTTCTTTTTTGTTATTCCTGATGTGCTGTTGGTTTTGAGTGGCTGTGTCCTGAACAGGACATGCTTTTCATCTTTTACATTAATTTCTGATTGTGAGGTGAGTGAAAGCTGCTTTTTTTATTTACAGCCTAGAGGCTAGTTCATTAGGAGAAAAAAAAGAAAACAAAATTCATGGTGCAAACTGAAACAGACTTGGAATGTTTAATCATGTTGACGACAGAAGATGAGATACCTAGAGAGTTACTTCTGTTCCTATTCTACCCTGAAGTTCAAGTGCAATCCAGGTGTTAGAAACAAGCATTAGCAGCAGTAAGGGGAAACTTCTGTCCCCCTCTTGATGGGAGGCAGGCCCATGTTCAAAAGCCTAACGACGTCTGCGGTGCTTGGTAACAGCCAAGGACAGATACAATTTCAAGGCCTGCTGAAATACAGCTTTTATGTTCAGGATTCTCCCAGAGCTGTGACACAGAACTAGGCATGTTGCCTCTAAAATAGTTGCAGGGAACGAGCGTAGCCTCAGTTTTCCTGTGGCGTGCTGGAACACGTGAGTTTTCTCAGAACTCGCACATCAAACACTGGGAAATTCAGTTTCGTACGGTTTTAATTGTGGTGTGAGCGCCTTACTCTGCGCCCGGCAGCCCCAGCCCTCGCACCAGAGCCGCAGGCCCTCCAGGGGCGAGCACGGCGTTTGGGCTGCAGGCGTCGGGCAGGTAAGCGACGGGCTCTGCGGCGAGA